AACTAGAAAGAAGTTACAGATTTTGTGAACATGGGAGCTCAAGGTCTTCAATGGTGGAAATCTCTTCCACTTCTTGCTTTGTTGCCCTTGTCTTCCTCCTTGAGCTCCCTAGCTCCAAGCTTCATCTCCAGCTCCAAAATCTCTGCAAATTGTGGAATCATTCTCATTGCAATGGCTGATGCTCTTTGCACTCCTCTCTCCTCCTTTCCAGCTTTTCCAAAATATCTTTGAATATAAAACAATTACTTTTGTTAAAGCCTTAAGCCTTGTCTCCTTGCCATGATGGGCTCTTTTGTTATTGTCTTCACCAAGATGCTCTTTGTTTCAGAAAATATCTCTTTTACAAAGGTAATTCCTTGTTACCAAGAGTTATGGTAACAAGAAATTAAGATGACACAAAGGAGGTGAAAGCTGGCCAAAATCGGAATTCCAGAGCTGCTGTAACATATAGGATCAGTTGGATAGGCTAAACTTGTCCAATGGAGCTCAAATTTGGATATGTTGTAGTTAACATCCATTGGAACAAGTTTCATGAAGATCTTCACCTCATCCGAGCATTGGAGTATGCTGATCCAAGGCCAAGAAGTTGACCTACGAAAATGAACAAAATCAGAAATTATAACCAATAATGCACTTTTAGCTCATTTTCATTCTAACCAAGGTAAAATCTAAGAAAACACAAAAAGGAAGTAAAAAGCTATAAAATGTCAAGAACTAACTCAAAATAATAGGTGAATAACATGAAAAATCATGTGTAAAAATGAACCGAACACAATGGCAGAAACGGTAAATCCATATCGAAAGACGAAAACTAAAATACAAAACACAGTATATTTTTAAAGAACAAACAAAGAAACAAGATTACCGCTCCACATCCTCTTCGACAATTGAAGAGACTCATAACGCCATACTGGCTAAACTCAAATCCACACAAGCTGACAATTTCATTTTTTGTAATTCCAAAATGTGAACTGGAGCCAAATCCTTGTATATGTGGGCCAAAACTATAACTATATTATGGCGACAATGGTATTTCACGATAACTGCTTTAACAACACAAAACACATCATCATAGCAACTGATGCTACATTCACCGACATTGACGTCATTGATCAGTGCATAATTATATATCATTTTGTACCCTTCTATATTATGATTTGGTAATGTTTTTTAGTTAAACTTTTGCTTTTAATCTATTTTGTGTTTATCATTCATTTCATTGAGCTTTAGGTAGCAAGAGTGGCTTTGGATAGAAAAATGTGCAAAATGGTGCAAAAACGTGCAAACTGAGTTAGCAATTTGTTTTGGCCTTAACTCCTTCCTCTCACTTCCTTCTCCCTATAAATACCACTTTCATTCCACACCAAAAGATGAACCACATCCTGAGATTCACACTCCCACCAATCACTCTATCCATCATTCACACTCCCATTATTTCCCAAACACATTCAGAAATCATCCTCCACACTCCCACAACCCTAAGCACTCCAGCAATCACCCAAAGCTCTAAATAGCCCCAAATCACCAAACCTGTCCCAGCAAGCCTTTCTTCCCTTTCCCGACGAATTTCCTCTTTCTCAACCATCACCACTCACCCAAACTCATCCCAAATCCCCTTCTTAACCTTCATACATCATTCGAGACATGGGGAAACTCTTGAAGAAGCATTAGACGTGGAGAAACTCTTGGAGAAGCATTGGACACCACAAGAACTCCAGAAAAAAGGTTTTTCTACTCTTATTGCATTCATTATGTTTTCTTATTTCTGTTTAAGTTTCTTTCCCATTTTGAGTAGCTAAATCCATAACTAGGGCTTCGATGTAACCTAACATGAATATTCTGGGTTTATAAATTTCAAGTGTCAAGTTTGATTCATGATCCATGTTCTTATTTATTATGCCTACCTGCCTATATGCTAATCAGAATGCCTAGCTACCATTCAAATTTGTGTATTTTGGTTGAAACTAAAGTAGACACCATATGCTTTTGTTTCAATTGAACTATGAATAGGAAGAGTATGTATGGACATTCGAAAACAAGGATTAGATACATGCTTGGTTCTTTAAAACATTCTTCTATATTTGATGGATTTCTAATGCTTAATTTAGGTTTGACAACAAATGATCTAATTAGGGAATTAGGAATACAAGATTAGGACCAGACACCATGGCTTAATCTTACTTTAGCTAGAATCAATCTTTGAATCTGAATAAGACTTGTCACTTGAATCCTTATAACCTAGAATTGGATTGTTATAGTGAATTGAATGCCCTAGTCCCCAAATATATTTTTCAACCCTTAAGACCACTCTTTGTTACACTTGTTTACTTGCTTCCGTTTACAATTTCATTTTGTTCGTTTGTTTTCAGAATCACAAGCACTCTCACTTCAAATTCCAATTTTATTTTGCTTTCAAACTCAATCTCACTTTAAAATATGTGTTAGACTTAACTTCTTATTTCTAGAATTGGGTAATCTAAGTACATAATTAATCTGAACTTCTCAATCCTCATGGGTACGACCTCGTTCTTGTCTTCCTATACTACTAATTGGCTTGTACAATTGTGAGTAACACAAAAGTCGCTACCTCCGCCGAGATCGAGAACACCACCAACAGCCACTCAAGACCTTTATTTATCTCCAAATCACAGGTTAAAATTGTTGGAAAAAATTGGCTCACCTAAAATAAGATGCAAGTTTTCAGAGGAAAAGCGACTAGTCGCTGGGTAGACGCGAGCAGTCGTTTTGAAGCAGAGTGGATGACTTGAAAAATCGCCAAAAAGAGACTGGCGGGCCTCTATTGCAACATGCAATTTTAAGTCTAAATGCACGCCAATGAACCTGCTTCAAAGCGACCGGTCGCTTCAGTTGTGTTGTTTCATTTTCCACACGTTTTCAAGACTCTTTTTCATGTGCTTACCTAATTGTAAGGACCACCTAAGTCATTTATGAGTTCTATAGGGAGGTTGGCAATCTGCTAGGAGAGCTAGGATAGCACTTATGGTTGTTTGTTGACTTGTTTCAAAGGCTTCCTACTCTTTGGGTTCTAGATAAGGTGGTTGAAGTTAAGGGGTGCAGCCTTTGCTGACTTGCTTTTTGGTTCCCCTAACTTTGGATCAATGTAGGGTTGCTGAAAGTTGAATGTGCAGCAAAAGGAAGCTTTGTCCTAGGTTCAAAGGCATATCTATCCCAGCATTATAAAAGGGAAGCAGATGCAAGACAAGAAGTGTGGCTGGAAGCTAGAATGAGAAGAGAGAAAACCAAGTGTGAGAAAGTTCACAAGTGCATCTAAGTGTTGAACAAGGGGTGTGAGAGAAACCAAAATTGTAATCTATCTTCATTAGTGAAATTTCTTAGGAAGATCATAAAAAAGGATGTAGGCAAATTTCTGAAACTTTATAAATACTTGTGTCATTTGTGCGCAATTATTTTCTGTATGTGTGAGTGTTTGACACATTCATCATTGTGTTTGTCTAAAGTCCATTAACAACAAGATCCTAAGGGAGTTATTTGCACAACAAAAATGAACCACCAAGATATGAAGTAGATCTAAAGCAAGAGCTCCAAATCTGCAAAAAGAAGACAAACAAAACAGCCAGCCAACAAACTAGCCCAAATGGCAAGAGCAGCGAACTACCCCCAAAGGGCCAAATGGCAAGAGCAGCGAACTCCCCCCAAAGGGGGTGTCGCGCGCCTGAGTTTTCTCTTGCTAGAGCTCTCTCTCTCTCTCTCTCTCTCTCTCTCTCTCTCTCTCTCTCTCACGTTTTTAGAGTTTTAGGCCTATTACCAATAGGTTTATATATAATTTAAATTTGTAGTAGGTTTTTTTTTTTCAATGTATGTTTTGTTATTTTGAAAGAATGACAGTAATATATTATTGAAATAAGGATGAGTAACTAGTACAAAAACCGGGATATGTCGTCAAGGATTAGGCAAGTGTCTTTATACAAATGGGCTCAGTCGTTGTTCTAGCTAAGTAGCCTTACTCACTCAATCGCAAGTTGGAGCACTAAATAAAATAGATGAATATAATATTTTTCCTTATAAAAAATTCAAATGTGAGATCATGTGCTAATAACAACTCTTTTTTTTTTTTTCTTGCCGAGTTGAATTATTTGTAGAATAATGTTTATAAATAGTGATGCCTTGAATTTATTTTGACAAAGCTCTAGTTACTATAAGGAATCACTCCCAAAAAAGACACTCAGCTTGACCACTCTTATGCAACATGATTTGTTGACAGGAGGAACATATACCCATCCTTTTAATTTCGATCCAACTAATTATTCTACTTAAGTGTAAAGGACAGGCTAAGCTTTAAAAACTAGCTTGGAATAATGCCGTAATTTTATTACAGGAATACTTAATCACTTGTGCTATAAATCCTTTGCAAAACAAATGATATTTGCTTAAATTTTGTTTTTCTCGGCTGGTGTATTTAATAAGATTTGTAGTCAACCATACACCAACACGCTTTCCACACAAAAAATTTCGCATTTTTTATTTATTATCTTTCTCTATCTTGAAGTATAGGTGTTTTCACATGCATTTTCTGTTAGCTCAAGTATTGTTTAGCTTACTAGGTATATTAAAGAGCAAAAAGTCACTTTTGGTTATGTAGTTGTCGTTTCAATTTGGTCAATTTTGTTCTTATAATTTCACTTTGAAGCAATTCAAGGATAATATCTCATTTCTATCAAATTAAAGTATCTTCTGTTACTTTGAGCATTTCCACCGCTCCCTACCAGCCCAGATAAGAGGGCCCCTAGGCCCCAGAAGTGTTTTCAGCGCCCAAGTCTTGCCAAGGCAAGAGATGGGATCCACTACCCGGGCAATGACCAAGACAAAATCAGCCCGCCCTCCTGCCTGATGGCTATGGCGTCACCACTGATGCCAGGATGGCGTCAGCGGACGAAATCAAATTTTTTTACCGTTTGAGCATAAAGAATTGGTTTCTAGGAGAAGATCTCTCTATCTTTTTGTGACTGTTTCATTCGACTCCATGGTTGAACAAGGTTAGTATATTCGGTTTTTTAACTTATTAAGAACTTGCATATCTTGGGAAGTAAGGTCTAACCATTTGAGAATCCAGAAGTCAACTTCTGCTAACACTTTTAAATTCCTAAGTCTTTCTTAAGTATCTGATGAGATCTCCCCAAAGCATTATCAATATGGAATTTGAGATATTACAAGCCCACTCGACAACTATCTTAAAATAATAAGCTCTCTCAAATAGTAAGCATGTTATGTTGTCAAACCATCAATTTAATACCGTACATTAAAAGAATCTGTTTCACAAGAGAACATTTATCTGGCCATTGTACATATCACAAAATGGTGCACATACTCGTTGATGGTGGATCATGGATGTAGAATTCCAACTGAGGATGGTGAGAACAAGGTTGTGGTCCTGCATGTGCATTTTCGGCTTTCTTTTCCTGTTTAGGTTCAACTTTGTTCTCAGCTTTCTTTTCAGTTATTTCTTCGACACTCACCAAGTCTGCATAGCCAAGCTTCTTCCTCAACGACTTCGCCATGTCCGCAGCATCAACTCCATCTCCAGTTATCACCATTTTGTCTCTGTTGGGTCCTTGGAAAGCCACTGATATTACACCTGCAACATTATAATTCATAAACAAAATTATCGAACTAATTAAACAAATCTCCTATTAATATGAAAGAATATAGTTTCAAAGTATGAAGGGCACCATCTTCCGCAACAGCTATCTTCATGGCCTTGGACCGACATTTATCACATCGAATCTGCGCCTCAATGGTTATCTTTTGCTGTAGGTCATGCATCCAACGAAACAAATATGTCAGAATCAAACCATGGACTAAATATGACATGCTGCACCTCAAGGGTTTCTTTCCTTTTCTCCGGAAAATATTTTTGGAAAGAAATTCTTATTAAATAAAACGACACAAACTCAAGAGATTAAGAGAACATATATAAATTGTATGTTTCTGGGAGAAGTGATTTACCTTCATATTGTCTGCTAGTATACTGAACAAAATTAAACTCTGGGGTTTCCAAGAAGAACGTATGGATGTTCTAATGCTGTAATAAGAATGTGAAGCTGAGTGCCGTTTTTATAATGTCAACCGTTCTGAAATGGCAGTGGCAGCTAAGCCTACACGTGATTATCTTCACTAATTGAGTTTAAGGAACAAGTTTGGGGATCGATTCACGTTTTGTGGGTTCAACGTGCGCTGTCCTATCAGACTAAGTCAAAAAACTTAGTTAATTAATTTTTGCTAATTTGATTTAAGACTGTATTTACAAGTCAATTCTTGTAGTGACAAGTCAACATAGGTAGTGCTCTAATGAAAGTCAGCACCGCTAGTGTGTAAGCAAGAGTAGTGTTATTAGAATATTATGAAGCATCACATGTTATACGACTTAATATATCAATTCTGTACGAGCCATTCAACCAAAGTAAAAAGGAAAAATCTGTTCTAGCCAGGCTCATTCATTGTACAATGACTTGTTGCCATCAGGAGATAGAATTTAAGAAAAAGGAAATCTAAATTAAAGATCTATCATGACTAGTTGCCATATAAAAATTGACTTATTTAATTTGGAAGCTGGTCATGCACTCCTCCACAATTTTTTTTATATTTTTTTAACCAATGCAGTCCTAGAATTCTACCTTGAAAAAGAGGTTATGGAAACTCATCTATGTGAATCTTGAGCAGTGTGGGTTCGGAGAAATTGTAGAATGGTACTGCTGGAGTACAATAATGTGGTATAACTTGTACATGGTCTATAATATGATCCTCCACAATTTTTTTTATATTTTTTTAACCAATGCAGTCCTAGAATTCTACCTTGAAAAAGAGGTTATGGAAACTCATCTCTGTGAATCTTGAGCAGTGTGGGTTCGGAGAAATTGTAGAATGGTACTGCTGGAGTACAATAATGTGGTATAACTTGTACATGGTCTATGATATGAATGGACGATAAGGTTGATATTCCATTCTAAGGAATAATATCAATAAATATCCACTTATCATGTGACAGACCGAATTTCAAGAGCTCCAAGTGTTACGAAAGTCAACTAATTTCCCCAATTAATTGGGGATTCCTGATATGTTGGTACTAAGGAAAAGATACTTACCTGTTGGGAAAATATTAGGTCTGTACATTTGCTTAATTGTAGGGATTACTTTCCTCTACTGTAATCGTAGTGTACCTATATATATCTTGTAATGTCTTCTTGTATATTCATATTGAAGTGAATAAGAATTTCTCTCCTGTCAATTTTATTACCAAGTGTTCAAGAAGGAAATGGCCTCTCGATTGGCAGAGCCAAAGAGTTGATCTTTAACTTGGTGATGGGAGTTAAAACCAAGGGATTGCAGGGTATTGTACAAGAGGTTGAAGAGAGTAAGTCCCAATTGCAATCGCTTAAGTTGTCGATTTGAAAGATGAGGAAATTAGAGCCAAACAAACATTGATTGAAGAATATGGCAGAGAGATGAAATCCAACGAGCAAAAACTTGGTTCGATTCAGAAATTAGTGCTGGAGTACTCAAATGCATTTGAATCGAAAATAAAGGATTTTAATTTGCTTGAGAGTGGGTCCGTGATGGGGGGAGGGGCCCTGGGAGAGGGAGAAAGCAGAGGATGGCTGCAGGTTTTTTAGTTTTTTTATTTATAAAAAGACTAAATTTTCTTTTAAAATTTTTTATATGAATTTTAAGTTTTAAAATAGATTAAATATTTTATTTGAAGTCATGTGGCTCTATACCATTGGATGTGTGGCTACGCATATATGTCACACCATCAATTTAACAGAAAATTATATGGAAGCTAACAAGGACCATTTTGATGTGTGGAGGGTAACCTTAAGGACCATTAGTGTCATAAAAAAAACCTTATGAACGAAAGGTGATAATTTCGCAAACCTCAAGGATCATTTGTGATTAAAAAACAAACCTTTGTTTTATATACAAAAATTAATGTAGGGAAAGTGGGAAATATAAAAAAAAATGTTGTTATTTCCACCTTCCTGTCCTAGTTCCCCACTCACCCTATCTTCCCACCCACCATGTAAATTTGGAAAAACACAATCTTATCTTTCCACCCACCATTATTCGTAAAATACCATTTAATTATTAATTCAAGCAAATTCTCTGGCGGATCTGTGCAAAGGGCAAGATGGATGCCTGCCAATCCCAAAGTTTTTTATAAAAAAAAACCTACATATGTTATAAGGGCAGCCCCAAATTTAAAAAAATTAAAAGCTAACCCAATATACACATGTTGCCCATCTAAGTTCCAAGAGGAAGTGGTCTCACATCTTCTCTCCTCTTTTGGCACATCAGCTTATTTATCTCTTCTATTCTATAACAACCCAATGGCAGCAACATCTTTTCCCCCCTCTATTTGCTGCATCTTCCTGTTATCTTAGCTGGGCAGTGGGCATCTTGGCAATATTTTCTCCTCTCCTTTCTACAACAACAATTATTTTCTAATTCTCTCCTTTTCTATATATCTTCAATTATAGTATGATTGTATGATTATATATTGTATTAGGTAAATAGTAAGTGTTATTACATTTTCCATAGACTAGATTACGATTTTTTTTATCATTTTAGTATTGAGAAAAATAATTTAATGAAAAAGGTTATTTGGGTCGGAATATATATGATGGAGTGGGGTTGACGATAGCATATCCTACCTCGACTCATCCCGTGATTATACGTACCCAGGTCTAACAATATTTAATGAGTGCTGCTATATGAACCCTAAAATTAACTGAGTACACCCTACTATCAAACTATTTATTGAATTACAAATTTAGTCAAAGTAGGCTCTGGGCTAAAGGGTACATACCAATCTTGTTCTGTAGTTATGTTCTCCTTCTCTTGGTGCTTTGAAGCTGTGGAAGTTGCTTTCTCTTTGACCTCCTTCCATTGAGTAAGATTTTCAATGGGCTTCAGCACTGATTGATCCCTAGCATTTTGGTTTGATCCTATTCGATTTAACTTCCTGGTTAGAGGCATTGAGCTTTGGCATTGGACTGTTGACCTCCTTCTCATCTATTTCAGCATCATAAACTTGTTTCCTGGAATCTATCGATAGCGAAAATAATGATTCGAAAGACTCTTCTTGAATTGAGATTTGCTGCTTACTATCAAACTCATCATCGACATGTTCTTCTTCGTAATCATCAGCTGCATCCAAATCACTTCCTTCTAAGTCTACCACATCTTCATATTCATCCTCATTGTTTTGGCAATTTTCGTATCTTTTGTTTAACGGATGAGCTGGTGCTACGCCTGATATAATGGAACCCAGAATCGGTTCCATCTCTTTTTGTATTTCCTCTTTCTCATCATAGCTTTCCACCAAACCATTGGTGACTTCCTTGGTAGTGGTATATGATTCTTCATGATGGACCTTGGTAGTCAAATCCAACGTAACTTTCTTTTTGGCATCATTCATTGATTGTTCTTCATTCGCCTCCTCTCTGTATACATTTATTATTGAAAATAGGACACGAATTCATGTAAAAAGAGAAATCTTGTTTAGGATTGGTATTAGGGTGTTGTGTGATAGATTGTATTAGGGTGTATTAGGGATATTTTTGGTAGTTAAATAGGGTGTACTTAGTTAATTTTACATTTTGATTAAAATATTAGGGTGTACTTAGATCATAGGGTGTACTCATTTAATTTTAGGATTCGTTTAGCAGCACTCTATTTAATTGACATGACGTTAAGAAGTATTCATGTTATAGTTTTTTTTAAATTTATCAAATTACAAAATCCTAAAAAACATATGAAATTTGGGGACCTTTTCTAAACATGTAATTCCTAATTCCAGATATATAAACATGTGAATTGTATGGAACCGATAATTGGAAAGAAAAATTCCTTGACACATCATCCGCCCTGGGACGTCTTTCATGTCATATTTCATAAATTTATATGATGTATCATACAATCACTGAAAAAAAAAATAAGTTTATGTGAACGGCCAACAATTGAAGATATCTACACAAAGTCAATGCCAGATTAACCAATTATGATCACCACTAACAGGATGAATCGATGGAAAGTTTGTATCCATGCAGGTCCGATTGGCATGGTTTTCTCCTTCTATCATTATATCATATCTCTTCCACTACTTCTTCCACATTCACTAAGTTGGCATGGCCAACCTTCTTCCTCAAACACAGAGCTAAGCTAGTTGCATCAACTCCATCTCCAAGTATCACCATCTGATCTTTCTTTTCCTCATTGAAAGCCACTGAATTAACTCCTGCAATATCACATATAAATTAATTTCATAGAAATAAAATCGTCCAATTTTTTCGTTCTTTAATAGAGATGAAAACATCGAACATATTGGGAGTAGTAATATATATACCATCAGCAACAGCAGCTATCTTCATGGCCTTGGCACGATGTTTTCTGCTTCTCATCTGCACCTCAATGACAATTTTTTGCTGTGCAATTAATTCAAAAAAGCATGTCACGTATAACATATTTATTTGGCTTTGCAGCAGTACTTCTCCTCGTACAATAGAACTTGTTTTCTTTTACCCTTTTCTTGAAAACTAAATTAGCGTTCACATATCCAAATTTGATCGAAAGGTACACGCAAGTCTTTCGATCCATGTGTAAAATCAAAATAATCAATCTTTTATATGGAGAAAACCAAAAAACATATTTGAGAACTTTTTCGAGTTAAAAAGATTCAAAAATATAAATATAGCTTTGGAAAACAGATAGTTTCTCTTTTCATATAGAAAATCATCGGCCAACCTTTTACATATCATATGTATGTATAAAAGAAAGGAGAAGTATAGAAATTAAAGAAGTTGACAACCATTGATGTATGTAAGACACGTAATGAAAGCCCCTTATAATTTTGTTTTGGACTGATTATACTTACCATCATATTGCACCCTGCACAACAAGTGGCTCTGAGTATAAATGATTTTGTTCTGTAGCAATCCTATAAAGAAGAAGATGAAGAAGTATAAAGATTTATTGAATCTCTATATGTATATATATTTGATGTCAACGATTCTTCTCTTCTTCTTTTTCCTTAGTTTTTGGGGTTCAAATGATTTCAACCATTCTAACATCGCAAGTAATCCACATGTGAGTTTCGTTCATGGAGCTGGCGATCCACTTTTTGTGGGTTCAAAGTATATATACCGCGTTTCAAACTAGCTACAAGTGGCAATCAGAATGCTTTGCTTATGACTCTGTTTCTGCGATCTTTCTTAATTATGACTTGTTGTTAGAGTGAATTATTGAAGTAACATATTGTAGCATAACCCAAAATGTATCGAGTCAATAATTGCGCCCAAAATCCCCAAGCCAAAATCGAGTCAATAGAAGGTCGTGAGGCAATCTCATTAGGTCATCAAGATGACCTCATGCGAGACCAAATAACTGTACTGACATTGCATGCATTCAAAAACTTCGTCACAGGAATTTGAGATTAAATAATAAATCTAAGACTTTTTTCCATTTTAACTACTAAAAATTGTTATGATAAAGTTTAAGGCTTAATTGTTGATTTGCCCCCTGAACTTGTACATAACTTTTGATTTACCCTAATTTTTTTTTCTACATAGTTGGGTTTTCTACTATTTAATGTCCCTCTGTTGGGCCTAATCTCCAACTCCTATCTGTTTAGTCAACAACCTAAATTAGTAATTAATATTATAATTAATTAATTTTTAATATAAAATTTATCAACTGTGACGAAAGTATTGGGGCCTAAGAGTATCCACAATGGACTCCCTAAACCATCTCTTAAGATAAAATTTAGGGAGGAAGTGAGAAAACCCACCTCCAACCATGCTCCCTATCCAACTCCTAAAATAGGGAGATATCTAGGAGCTCCTAAATCTAAGGAGAGAGAAGGGACTCCTAATGGCTCCTTATAATTAAATAATGTTTTACTTTAATGCTATTTTAAGTATTTATTTAATGCTAATTATTTAATGTTATTATTTTATATGAAGAGGGTGCATTTATGCTAAACTAAAAAGAGAAATAAATCATTTATGATTCCCTAAACTAGAGAGTATGGTTGGAGTTGAAATTTATAAGGAGCTCATAAAATAGCTTTCTATTTCTATAAATAAAAAAAGTATAAGGCGTAAAATGAAAATTAAGTACAAGTTTAGGGGCAAATCAACGGTTAAGCCTAAGTTTAACACTAGTTGAAAAGTGAAGGTAAATCCAAAATGAAAGTTGTGATCTAATCTAAAATATTCATGATCCAAATTAAAGTAATGGGTTAAACACAAGTAGTCCATGTAAAGAAAAAAGGCCTACCACTGTTTTATCAGAACCACCTAAATTAGTTTTTTTAAAGTATTTTTTTATATATATACCTACTTCTACCATCACGATTATAAAGATATTCTTATTAATCGAATTCTGAGAAGAAAAAAAAAAATTCTAAAATCAGCCACCTGCCATGAATTTATTAATATTTTATACATGAAATTTCCCTTTTGTCCTTGTGTCGTGAAATTTATAGAAATGAAGCCACATCTTGCCAGGGTTAAAGTTAAAGAAATAAAATCCACAAGCTGTCTTAATTGCCCTAACATCTGAATTTACTTTATTGCCATTGTCATTAATTTTCAATTTCTTTGGTTGCTGTCGTTCGAACGCAACTCATTTGTTCAAATGCAGCTCCTTCGTATTGGATCGCGTCCGTGGTAAACATATTATTGAAAAGGGTAAATTACTCAAATGGTCCTCAAATTTGTACCCGATTTACATTTTGATCCATAAACTAAATTATTCGTTCAAATGGTCAACCAACTCTTTATTAATCGTCGCTTTGGTCCTACCGTTACATTTTCTGTTAAATTTAGTCATGTGAAGAGCACATGCTACATTTGTGGGGGTAAATAAGACTTTTGACCTATGTATCACCCCTTTCTCACCTCTTTATCACCATTTTATCACCTATGTATCACCACTTTATCACCTATGTATCACCACTTTATCACCTATTTTGGAGAACATTGGGCCTCACAGCCTCCTCCCTCTTTGGTTCTGGTGTTGGCTACGGATGGTTTGTCATGCCCCCCTAGTAATTAGTTTATTGTTATAAGGTAAGTTTACTTAATGTATTTCCAGTTTCTATCTCCTGGGAGGTGTCTTTGGCCTCCCTGTGATTTGCTTGTATTGCTCTGGGGATCTCCCCTGCCCCCTGTATGTTTCTTTCTTGCTTTTCCTGTTTGCTGTAGCTTGAGCCTTTTCTGGCTTTTTCAATGAAGTAATTTTCAGACCCAAAAAAAAAGACTAGTTACTATTGTTTCACAAGAGAACATTACTATTGTTTTACATAATTCTCTAAAAATTTGATTCTCTGTCTCAGTTCAACACTGGTTCTGTTCCTCAAACCGCAAAATTGTTTTCCCAGACTTTATGCCGTGGAAAACTCTCTGTGATTCGTCGAAGGGGTTCATTAAGAATGATGTATTAACTGTTGAAGTAGAAATATGCTCACTATCTGTGGTTGATGTGCCTAGAGTATTAAAAAAAGCTGTCTTATGATTAAGATAGATGGTTGCAGATCTTTGAATAGTATTCGGAGCCCAATATGTATATGCTGTGCTAGAATTGCAGAGTGGTGTATCCGGAACATATTAAAATTTGTGTGAACTTTGTCAGATAATTTTCAAGTTTGAATGGTTCACATAAATAAAGGATTAATTTCTTGTGCTAGATACCACATTCGTTTTCAGGTTTTGCATAATTAAGGAAAGACATGATTTGTTAATTTCTTGTGCTAGATACCTTGAGTGGACATGAACATAACAATTTGGATCCAACCATTGATTTTGATTAAGAGTTTGAACTTAAATCTAAACAGTTGATGCGACGGTCATGACTTAATGCAGAAATTCTGATGCATACAGTTGATATTCACCTCATGAGTATCATTCCTTACTAAGCGACATTAGGGGAGGAGGGAAGACAACAAATGCAAGAATATATGACTTTGGACCCAGCCCAGTTAGCTAAAATACTAGCCCAATTAATTAAACTCATTAACCTGTGCCTTAATTTGGTTCTTTGGTTCAAAAGAACATGTGTATCCTCAAGGTTGGGAGGATCGATGGGAGTTTTTTGTCAACTTCAAATTGTTTGCATTAGATATTTCGCACGAACATGATCATAAATCCAAGAACTCTCTACTATCATGCTAATGAGTTCTTGGGAGTTTTGGTAACGATGGCGAACATTTTTAGCAGATCTCAAATCCCCAATGAGCAAAAAATCATTAATCTGATAAAAAAATTAACTCCGATATATAGATAAACGGTGTTGAATAAGGGAGAGTAAAGTTTCACACACACTGTCAATGTACCATAAGAGTTTTGAACCTTAGACCATTTATCTACAAGTCTATTATTTTTTGAGTTGACTATATCTAATACTGCAGTCTTCTCTTTACTATTATTTTGATATTTTCTTTTGGCTGGTTTTTAAAAAAAGCAAACCTTGTAGTCACTCAACCATTAGATATTAATATCTTCAAATTATTTTATTTTATTTTTAAGAAATGGAATTCATTCATAGAATAGAAATAGCGTACATTGAACGATATTAATATCTTCGAATTTTGTTTATTTTGTTACTGTTATAGTTATGTTTTTATTATATTGTAGATCGATCATTGTTATTAAAACACACAATGCATTGCAATTTATATTTCTATAGAATTAGTTTTTGTTTGCAATTTAGGTTTTTGTTTTTATATTTGGAATTATGAAAAAGGAACTTCTTTTGCATAGACTGCATTGCAGTTTTGCACACAGTCATTGCAGTTTCCATTTAATAACAATTGGCTAAATTGTTTTATCATTGGATATTGGTATGATTTTTGAAGTTAATGGAAATTATTCAATTGTGTTATCAATGGATATGCCTTTTTGACTTTGTTTAGTTGCATGTTTTCATGATGGATTTGATTTTTTACATTGTAGATTGATCATTATTAAAATACACAATGCATTGCAGTTTATATTTTATAGAATTGGTTTTTGTTTTTGTTGCAGTTTTTTTTTTTTTTTTTTTTTTTTTGCAATTTATGTTTTTGTTTGCTATTTTTGTTTACATCATTGATATGTACATTGTTTTGTTATGCATAACTATAGAGCATGAAGGATTTGGTACAAATCTTGCGCGAATCAATGTTGAAATGAATTTTTTTTTTTAACTGTTGATTGTTAATATAAATATTGCGTAACTGAACAAATATCACAAAAACAAGGTTAATGTAGTGGTTTGTGAATGAGGATTTTCTCCTTTGAGAGTCAAGGTTTGAGTCCCTTCAAGCACACAAAATTTTCTATTTTTTTAGGGTGAATAAAGAGCAATGAAGTGAGAGGCGGCTAGCTGGTGATGGGCAAGAGGCGGTAGGTGGCAAGTAGTGGTGGCTCGACAAAAGGGGTCGCTGGAGGTGGACATGTACCATAGTATGATTGACTTAGAAGGAGTGGCATTTTATGTAATTTTGAGGTTCTTGACTTCAAATGAAATTATGAAATTCTTTAAATAAACTTCAGTTGCATTCCTTGTAATTTATAGGGATTAATTTCGTATCTATCACAATAGGAAACTCTATAATAGCTATAAACCAAAACTCCCTAAAATATATTGTCTTCAGATTTTTTGAAGTGCCACTAATAGCTAAAATAGTCATCATATACTATTTTCGTCCTTGAATTCGAAAAATTGTTATGGTCGTCTTTCAACTATATACCTCGAGTTTTAGACCTTTATGTCAATTCTATCAACTTTTCAATTAAATAGAGGGCTACGTTTGTCTTCCCATGTGCTGGATTCTTAATCAGCAATGCCCTGTCAATTGCCTCTCAATTTCCGTCTAATAGAGTGTCAAACTCGAACCCTAATGTCATGTCAGCTGTCTGTTTAGGTTTGGGTTCTATCTTCTGTCTCATTTAGGTGGATTCATTTCATCTAAACTTTAATTTTTTTATATTATTTTATATCATGTTTAGTCTTGTAAATTAAAGTTAGTCTTGTAACTCTTTATTTATCATTTAAGTGCTCCGACTTTTGTCCTCCTTAATATTTAGCATTAATCTAATATTACCAAATCCTCAACAATATTGTCACCGCATCCACCCCCACAAATATCACCATTTTAGTATGGTCGTCATCGCACCACCACCATCATCGACAACAACCCCCAACAACATGATCACCACAACCACTCCCACTATCATTATCGTCGTCATCATTTCAAAATTTCCACACCCAAACGACTGTTCAGAAAATAATAATAATAATAAAAAGAACCCACGAGTGAAGTCATTTTGGTCAACCCTCCTCCATAGTCATCCATCTATCTTGAAGTCAAAATTCAATGGTTGACATTCAAATTTAGATCAAATATCCTAATAGGGTATTAATGTCAACCATGGAATTTTGATCCGCTAATTGGCTATAAACTCCGGTACCAATAATAGATGTTGTTGTGCCTAACACACTATTCATGTCCACTTTCTTTGAATCAGATTCTTGCTTAAGGTCTCCTTTGAATCAGATTCTACTAAAAAACCATCAATAATGTAAATATATATATATATATGTATGTATGGTAGTGTTTTGGTGCTACCTAAACATAATATGTTAGTTTATGTAGATGGATTAATTACCAGCACGTAACTGCGACGACCATTCGTCTTCGTCTCTCTCTAAATTCCTCTTAAAACAAAAAAATAAGAAGAAAAAATTAAAAATTAAAAAACTCTCCGCTTATACTTTTCTCTCCGACTTCTCTCAAAATCTCCCGATATGGACGAGCCCGACTCCGACCAACCCGCGGCGCAACGCTTCCAAAACGTCGTCGTCATGCGCCACGGCGACCGCATCGACAACTTCGAGCCTCTCTGGGTGTCGCAGGCAGCGAGACCATGGGACCCGCCTCTGATCCAAGCGGGCAAGGATCGGGCCTTCTGCACTGGCACGAAGCTCCGATCCGATCTCGGATTCCAAATCAATCGGGTCTTCGTCTCGCCCTTTATACGCTGCATCGAGACCGCCGTCCAAGTCGTCACCGCTCTCTCCGCCAGCGAACACCCTAGTCTCTCCAAATACGAAAGCGACCAGCCCCTCCCTGTCGATCCTTCTAAGCTCAAGGTGGGCCCCACCATATTTTGTTATTACATGTTAGGATTGTGTTGCTTATTGAATGAAATTTGTATATATATATATATATGTGTATTCGGTCCTGTTCTGATAGTTTGCGTGCATAATAAGATATACAGTAATTTTTCTTTTTGGGGCACAACAATATGTGACGTAGATCGATTGAGAGAGTTTTTTGCTTTTAAATTTTTAAATTTTTTATTTTAGTTTTTATATAAGCGATATTGAGGGTGGGGGGATATGAACACATAATCTCAAGCGCAGGGTGACTGTTCTTAATTGGGAGAGTTATGTATATAAATTGACAATCATGTATTAGATGTCTCACATATTATCTTATCAGACTCTGAATCAAAACTTATGTTTTAAGAGTTGTACTTTATGTTTTGACAACATAACATGCTAGATATTGATGAGGCTAAGAAAAGTGTTGTATAGACACAAGCTTAGTATATTTAAGCTTGGTGATAATAATATGTGGAGTAACAATGGCATGTAGGATTCAATCTGTTTGTCCATTTTACAGGTCTCAATTGAATATGGGTTATGTGAGATGCTGAACAAGGAGGCCATCCGTGGCGACTTGGCTCCAAAAGATGGGCAACGATGGGGTTTCAATATAGCAGAGCTTGAGGCTTTGTTCCCTGCTGGGACAGTGGATCAAACTGTGGAACGAGTGTACAAAGAGGTATATGGAAATTTCTTGGTGTATATAAGGACATAAATGAATTTTGCTTTGCCTAATGGAACCTCTTCCTGTGGTTGACTCCAGTTGCCCCAGTGGGGAGAGAGTGTGACGGGTGCACGGGCTAGATACGCTGAGGTCATTCAGGCCCTTGCAGATAAATACCCTACAGAAAATCTGCTCCTTGTCACTCATGGTAGGCCTCATATGTGGTTCAACTCTTTCTTGAATGTTTAGTTTCTCTTTTATGTTTTTGGAAATTTTCGGCAGCTTTTCATATTTGTTCGTTAGTAACTCCAGCAATGTGTTCCTCTTCCCGAGGAAACGCCTTTCGAATCTAAGCTAAAAGCATCTTTGTGCAGGTGAAGGAGTTGGTTCATCAATTTCTTTATTCCTGGAGGGCGCCACAGTTTATGAAGTAAATTACTGTGCATATTCAGAACTAAGAAGGCCTGTCTTCGACAAAGACCAGCCAACAACTGCTGGGAAGTTTGAGGTAGTGAAAAATCTTCGCCAGACTGGTCTCAGTTACTCGCTTGAAATTGCGGATACAGTTGATTTAAGCTTACCATCAGAGTAACGACCGTGTAATATTGCCTTCTTTCTAGCGTGCTTGACTGCATTTTTACACCAAAACTCCAATTATTGGAATTCATTCCAGGGCTGGATGGTTTACGAATTGATCAGACAATAGTTTCTCTTTTACGTTTTCTTTTGCAACTTCAGTTCCATGTCTTTGCGACCAGGCTAAGAAGGCTCAGGTTCGAAAGAACTGAAGCAAAAGCTTCTTTTTTACTTCAGAACAAGTTCCCTTCACCCCTCCGCCCCCCCTTCTTTCTCCTTTATCAATATGATCATGTGCTGCTTCAATCACTAACTGAAAAATGACTGAAACCTTCTTCAAAGAAAGTTCTCATAAGTGTTTGAGTTACATTACATGCAAGCATAGTACCTTTCTTTAAGAAGCAACTATCATGCCTGTTGGACAAAGAATGGCAGAGGCAATTTGACTTGCTATTATATGTAGTTCAATGTCTAGTACAAATAATGGCAGTAACAATAAATTATCATGCCAGTTAGACCTTGTCAATTTCTAGCTAAAGAAACTAATACAAAGTTAGTGTTTAGTTTCCACATCCTACATGCAAACTTGAAGTTACAAGGTTACTGTCATTCAATGCTGCTCTGGTGAGTTTGGAAGCAGTTCAATCTGATCAAACATGTCTACTGGTAAGTCGTCGAAGACACAGTCCGGGGTCATGGGATTGCCAATTTTGTCCCTTTCACCATTTCCACAACTTCCTACCGGTTCAAGAAATGGGGGCTCCATGAGAAGTTGTTCTCCTCCATTTCCAAGTTCAGAAGCAACCAGAGGAGTTAACATGTCGAAATAGGGATCAAATCTTGCCAAGAGTTCTTGGGTTTCTAATGAGAATTCTAGGTCTGTTTGGGGTTGTGGGTTCTGCAGGAAAGGGATTAGCGGTTGGGGCTCAATCCATGGATTCTTCTCAGTTGGGGCAAGCTCTTGTTGAACAGGGTTTGCTTCAAGAGCAAGTAACTTGGGCTTAACAAGATCTGGTAGTGGCACCATTTTGATAATCTCGGAGTTCCCAAAGCAAGTTGGTGATGAGCATGATTGAGCCTGTGATGATGATTCTCCCTCTGATGAACAACTGAACTTCGGAGCCTAGAGAGGAAGAAAAAAAAAAGATCCAATTACACAATTAACAATTAATTAAAACTTAAATTTGTAGAAACCGTAGGTCCATAACAATAATAACGACATCTTTTCGTCAAGATTTATTCATCTGGCTTCCATTTTTTTGTTCTTGTAACTCTAACTACCAAAACTTGAACAAATTAAAACGTCTAAATGGGCTAACATGAAAATGCAATCAATTCCAGACAGAATATTTCAAGTGCATAAGTAGAAAAACTTATTTTCTTTCTGTTAAAAACCCTTCTCTAGATGTGCAAATGACATCAATTGCAGTCATTACCAAAAATGATTAAAGAAAAATGAAAGATAGTTGTCATTTACACATCCAGAAAACCAATATTAGGTTTTTCTTCTTTCTAGAAGTAACATGTCATTTACCTCCAAAGTGAGAACCTCATCATAAACAGGGCCTTCCCTTTTGTTTTTGTGTGACTTGGAGGGTGTGGGTGCTGATGCCTGCAGAATCCTAGCCAGCCTCTTCTGCCTGCTACTCCAAAAATTCTTGACATCATTGTCAGTCCTCCCAGGCAAATAGGTTGCTATTCTTGCCCATTTGTTCCCAAATTGTGCTTGCAAATCTATCACCACCCTCTCCTCCTCTAATGAGAATTTGCACCCACTGAGAAACAAACACAGATTCCAAATACAATTAGCTAAAAAACCCAACAACCCATTTTTAAAATCTTAATCACCAACAAAAACCCAATAGCCCATTTTTAGAAATCTTCATCATATTATCACATAGCATGCGCATGAAACAATGTACCAGAAGCAACAACTAAAACAGAAAGAGAAAATGAAATGGTGGATGATGAGTTGGGTTACTTCTTCAAGTTGGGTCTAAGCTTATTGACCCAACGGAGACGGCAAGACTTGCCAGTCCTCTGCAAGAGGCCTTTGGATCGAATGGAGCTCCAGTCTCTTGGGCCACACTTCTTCACATGGTTTAACAGAACTTCATCTTCCTCTGCTTTCCATGGCCCTTTCCTTATACCCTCTTCTATTCTACCCTCCATTCAGAATTCTTTCTCCTTTCTCAGACACAAAGGGAGTTACTTTGGTCACTTTCTTTGCAAAAGTTTTTCTATAAGTTGTGCAGCACTCTCTGTAATTTTCTTATCGTTTGTGTAGTGGCGGTTAAGGCAGTTACTGATGCCATCGTCCACTAATTAGCCCACATTCGCACTTTTTTCTCTGTTTCAAAAATCATACCGGTGAAGTTACGAAAATGGCCCTCTCTTAGTTTTTAATTTTAATTTCCAACCATCAAAGCAAAGAGCCCTGTTTCTTTTGACATTTTTACCTCAAATTTAAAAAAAAATCAAAAATCAAATATTTCCCGGGAAATTAAACATTTATTTGGTAAGACTGCTTGAAGATTTCTAAGAAGAAGCCAATGGTGGCTTCACCCCATGGCACCCCAATTTGAACCCAGGGTCGAACTCCAATGTAACCAAACAAACAAACAAAAAGATTTCAAAGAAGAAAAAAACAGTTTCAAAACCAGCCATTATAATAATTTTCCTTTTCCTATTGACAGTGGTTCACATGGCTAAATGCCATTCCTTCACAAAAATAATATAAAGAGATACATTTACTACTTCCACTGGGCCAAGATATCTTGGCTTTCAAAGTTTCCTTGAAATGTTGTAAAGCTCAATTGTAAGTTAGCAGCCATATAACTTGGTACAACAAATCAGGTCAACGAACAAAAAAGCTTCAATTGGATCTATTGAAGAGTATATACATGAAGAAAACCCTACAGCTAACTAAAGCACTAATATTTTAGCTCATCTGTCACAAGTTTGTTGGATGCCATACTCGTCAAAAGGCATCAGCAGTCTCCATTGAAGTCGTTCCCTCAGCAGAAGTAGTATTGATGCCTTTGGCAACTGGTTGGCTGATCACCCCATTGTTACTGTTAATGCTTTCAGCACCGTTTTGAAGTTTAGTCCTAGTAAGATGAGATTCAGTAATTAAAGACGGCTTCTCAGAAGAAACAGTTTCAGTATCCCCATTCTCAACAGGCAGACGTTCGTCGTTGTAACTTGATGTTGATGAGCATTTAAGCAATGATTCTCCTGGTACAACCATCAAAGTGCCAACTGCATTTGAATACTGACTACAATCAGAACCATTTATCAAGTTGTCACAAACCCCATCAATTGTGATAGCATCATCAACTGATGATTGGTGATTACTTGTGCTTCCATTCTTGCTTTCAATTTCTGTTCTATCACTTTCTGAAGCTTCAGACACTTCAACCACTTGTGATTCAACAGGCACAGATGCAGATGGCAAAGTCTTGCTATCTACGATATTGTTATTAGATGCTCTAACAGTGGGCTCAATATCATTGCAGTGGAGATCATTTGGATCGGTTACTGTGCATTGTTCTGCAAACTCCATTCCATTTTTTCCTTCAGTTTCCATTCGTTCATTTCCTGTTATGACACCTGAAGTTTCAGCTACTTCAACCACTTGTGATTCAACAGGAATGGATGCAGATGGGGAGATCTTGTTATATACAGTATTGTCATCACATGTCTTGCAAATAACAGTGGGTTCAATATCATGGATGTGGTCATCATCCGGATGGGTTACTGTGCATTGCTCCACAAACTCCATTGTTGAAGAAGGGATATCAATGTCCTCATCCATCGCATTTTCTTGCCTATTTCTATTTAAGATATCATCCTCATATCCAGTTGTATTAGTGAGAGCATCATCTGCGGAAGCTAAATCTTCAGTCTCTGCGTTAAACAATGACCTTTGTCTGCTTCCCGAGAAGACACTGCTAGACACAACCTCATCAACAGAATATAACCCAGGTGGGGAAATACAGATGGATGATGGGTCAACATCCATCTCATCACAAGATACTTCTTCTCCACAACTCTCATTACATATGCCATTTCCACATGCTACCTGATTACTCTGTTCAGTACCCAATTTACCCTTGGTTCTCTCAGCAGTGACATGTTCATCCCCACAATTATTCTCGTTATAAGATACTACTTCCTCATTTACTAATTCTCGATCTTGATCAGCAAAAGATGTCACATCCATTGTGGTATTGCAGCTTTCCAAATTAACTAGTCCATTTAATTGATTCTGTACAAAGACGGCTAAAGAAACAGCATGATCACGAATCAAAGAATCATGAGGTGGGCAGTGCAGCATATCAATCAAGGCCTGGTGGTACTGCAATAGGCTTATAGATGGCATAGCCGACTTTTTCCGACAGACACTGATAACTTTCAGTACATGCTCGCACAGGTTGCCCATTTCTGCCCAACTGCAGTTGCAAATACCGAACTGTGAACCAGGGTTCCAAACAAGATAAGCCTTATCTTGATCAAGCTGGTTAATAACTTTTGCACATGTACCTTCCATGACTACATTGGAGTCTGGAATCTTCAATGCTTTACGCCAAGATGTTAAACCACTCACCCATTCATCTTTCCAATATCGAGCAAAATCATCCTTCTCAGAATATTCATCAAGCCAGAAGTAGGAATGTACTTTTGTACCCAGCTTATCAACCAACCAATCAACTCGTGTGTACACACTAGGTTTCTTCTCGTTCAGCAACCTAAGCTTTAGTTGGTTGTGGTAGAACTCCATTGCTGCACAGGTTTCCTGGCTAGCAAGAGGAAGATTTTGTAGAGCAGAGATCCACATCCCTATGTCAAAAAACATTTTTCTTGAATGAGTAATTCAAAATAAAGCAAAATTAAAAAAAGGCTCTTTTAATAGAAAGGGGAGAAAGAAAACAAAAAGGCCGCTATCTGCAAGACTAAATATTATATTGAACCGACGCAATAAATTGATCTTCTGCCAAATAAAGACTGCTTTACAATCAGCAGGCCAATTCTTAGCATATCAAATTCCCCTGTATACAAATGGATATATATTACACGGAAAGCATATACTAAATTATATATTACACAAACACACGCACACATGAACATCCACACATTTATGCGATTATATATGTAAAATTTATGAACATATGTATGTATGCATATATATGCATGTTAACCTGTACGCATGCCACACAATCAAGTCAGGGCAGGTCTTAAGAAATACATACATAGACATAAATGTAAGTATGTCAAGATGAAAACCAATTAAAAGGGACATGTTAGTTCATATCACAGGGCAAAATATACCTCTACTTAAGATGATAGTGACCAACCTATTCTAGGATACCAGGTTGCCTTAAAGTAATCCATAAAATCTGATTCATCTAGAAAATCTTCTATGAAGTCCTCAAACAAACCCTCAGTTCCTCGTTGCTGACAAATGTTATCCATTGCCTGATGAAACCTTCTTGATATTGTAGCTCGCATCTCATTGTCCACACATTTCTTTACTAAGTTTTTATGCCATGCATGACGAACGCGCCAAAAGCTTATCAACACCGAGCACTGAAATACATCCCTGAATACAATGAAAAAACATTATTCATTTAGCTTCAAATCATGCAAGTATTTATCCATTAAAACAAGAAAAAGAAATACAGCTCTAGATCATGTCAAAGTGGCCTGCTCCATTTTGAAATAGTTGCGGCTATTGCCACTGGCCCAAACCCCAAAAGGTCACCTCATAAAATTGGATAAATAAATAAGATATATTTATAGCCTTCAACCTTGATTTTAAACATCGTTTGACAATAGCAAGGCTATGTGTTGAGATTAAATCACTAGTTGTCAAAACCAAACAAATCACACAATACTAGTGCATCGACTGGACAGTCTGATCAAGTCAAGAGATTGGGCATTAATTTCAAGGAGAGAATCCCACCTGCTTATAATATTAAACTGAAAACAAATCTTCTAATCATAAGTAAACAACTGAAATGGAATACATGGAAACAGGTTAATAAGTGGTGATGTAATTGGGTTCACACTGCCACTTCTATGGAAAATGATCTATGGACTGTGATCAGCGAATACAATCATCTATTGTCAGTTTGAAGTTTGGACAAGGACTGAGAAGCCAACCTGATAGTGAGCACATCAGCTAGCGGATCATCCACTATGAACCCAGCCAACTTCCATGCAGGATCTTTCGTTTGAACTCTATTGTAAAGAGCCCTCATCCATTTATGGGCATTGGAACTTTCGAACTTTGGAGCCACTATCCAAGCTACTGGAATGGCCTTGTTGTCGTCGTTAAATACAAGGAGACTGTGAACTGAATACTATATAACATCCAAACATGAACATATTCAGTTGCACATTCTATTAACAATTGCAGTTAACAATAAAAGGTTACACAAACTAAACGGACCTTCAATTTGTTTGTTCCAAACCTTGAATCTGAAGCTAGAAGGCTACGATTTCCAAAGCGAATCATCTGTTGCAACTGCCAATCTGTTTGAATTCCCAAAGTGAAAGGGTCCACATCAGAGAAATCCTCATAGTAGAAAACATTACTCTGATGGTTTTCCACCCACATGCTAATGCTAACCGCATCATCTGCATCCAATTCATATCTAGAACGTCGAATGATCCTCTCCTGTCTCCGAACGTACCTATGGGTTAAAAGATCATCACGATTAGATGGACCGCCCTGTTTCTCTACTGATTCATTGTGTCTCTGCATTATAGTCTCCACAGAGACCCCCACATATAGCAAAGATAGCACACGAAGACGTAGGTCCTCAGAGATGTATGGGGCAAACATAGCACGCGTTCCAGCAGCCATCTTGTCTTGCGGGCCATGACATGGCGCCCCTTTCTTATCCACATGCTTATCCTGATTATATATGACAAGCGCCACTGAGGGTTCAGCAATTAAGCGTTTCACGATAAAGTGGCAGGTACATCCTCTCTTGGTGTTTGGTCGACCAGCATTTTTCTTCTTTGGGAGATAAGTAGTCCTGCTAGGTCGTACAACCCCACCCTTCCTATGGTCATCAGGACCAAAGGAACACCAATATCTACACATTTAAAGAAGATAATTTAAGATGATAGAAGGCAGGAACGCTGGCTAGAATGGACAGAGGAAAAAATGTGGAACTTACAGAATATATTCAAGAACACCATCAACCTTTGGTTTGTAAGGCGTCTTTGCCTGCCGCCGCCTCCTTGCTTCAACATGAAATCTTGTTGGACATTCTTTGTTCGCTGATTCACCCCTCAAAAAATCATCAACTCTAGCAAATGGAATTAGAGCAACTCTATCTTTATTGTCACGCCAACCTTCCACCTTTGACCACACAATATCAGCAGAAGAAAACTCCAGTGTTGGTGGACTCTGAACAGGAAGGGACAGAATCTCATCCCATCTAGCCATCTACCTACAATGGATAAAACAGAAATGATACACTTAATAATGGAACACTAATACACCAATGTTCATGCTACCAGAGCACTCAATTAGCAAAAGCCAGATGTTAACCTTAAAAGCCCAACTTTAAAATAAACTACTTCTTAGGCAACAGTGAATTCGGCTCAACTCAAGTAAACCAATCAGTCTAATTTTAAGTCGAGAAGAAGAGGCTGAACCTGGAAATTCCTTCCGAAATTTCTTTTCGTGTTCTTCCTTCTTCTTGAGTTGGTGCCGCCGTTTCTTTTAAAATGGGGAAAACCTAGCCTTCTCCTCCCTGTCCAGAGGAAGAGGCTGGGTGTGATTAAAAAGTTTTAAATTTTCATTTTTAACAATGATTACCTGCCGCCCTGAGCTCAATTACAAATTATCTATGTTGAATTAAACAATTACAAGCACACCCCAAACCCGATTAAAAGATAAAACCAAAGAGCACAGAAAGATTACTTTAATTCATGCAATAACTCTCATGCCAAATAAAAAGTCCAAAACTTCAGCAAACTTTTCCTGTTCCTGTAAATTCTTTCTCAGAAATTTCACTTCTTTTATTTTCAGGAATTCTCATAAATCGAACACAGTTGAAAAGCCCAAATAAAAGAGAAAAAATGTAACTTCTTTTCAGATAAAGCGAGCTCGCTAACCTTCGCAGACTCAAACTGAGCTATATGGCTATATGCACACATCACGCAATATACACATATGGACAACTATGTATGCAAATATGTTTATACTTTCGGGTTAGGGTTTTAGAATTAGGGTTACCTCGTCGGGGAAATGAAATAGAAAGGGAGGTTGCGCTGCCTGTGGAGATTGCAAACGGACGGAGAAAAGGACTGAACCCCAAAAACCCTTTCGTCGTACACTTTTTTTACTTCTTTTTCTACTACTTGTTATTTTATCTAACTTTGTAGTATTTGCAAAACAGGTCAACTTTTCTCAATAATTCATTAAGCGATCTCTACACATAAGGGTTCGTTCGTCGTTTGCTCGCGTCCTAGAGATATTGAACTTTTTGGTGCGTATTAGTCAAGTTTACTTGATATTAACATAAATAATTAGATGTAAAATGAGTCATATAATTAAAATTAGGTTGAATTGGATTTGAAAAAATTATCTCAACTTTTATCCCATTTCTCTTATATATTGTGGTCCTTAAATCATAAAACCATGTAGAATTCATGTAATAAATATTTTCCTTTAATAAATATTTTCTTAGATTCGTTTTTATTTATTTATAAATAGAACATTAATGTGGTGAGATAATGAATACTTCTCAATGAGTTTGGGAACTTCATCTTACAAATGGAAAAGAGTGATTATGTGAAGAAAAATATATATTCAAGATGAAAATCCAACATAAAGGTGTTGGTTTTATATAATAAAATTGAAATTGAATTCGAAACCTAAAATTATTACAACCAAACAATGAAAGGTTATTCGTCTCTTGTCCTCTGATGTACCCCAAGTCCAGTTCTTATGTTTGCACCCAGCTCTACTAGATCCTCCACCTGTAAAACAACTTACAGACTGTGAGTACATGTATCATTTGAGGTACGCATCACAATAGCGGATCCGAACACATCACAGCAACCTAAACGATAGGATATTCACAAATCTGCGTTAACAATGGGCCCGATAATTCACCCACAACAAAGCAATGCCGCTACAATGGGTTAGCTACAATTATGTATCTAACTCACCACAAATATATATCATTCTCGCATTCATGTGAGTCTAATACGAGACCTATTTGAACTAAGTGGAGACAACTCCCATTGAATCAAAGGCTCGTTGGTAATTTCCTTGACTTTCCACTGGATATCTAACTATATGATCAATTTTCTAATCTTTAGACAGTAAGGATTTATGTAAGACTTTAAGGTGTTATCTCAGCTCTTTTAGGACACCTTCATTAATTACTAAGTAGCGTCCATGTTTTTGAGAAAAGGTAAAACAAGTTGCAGATAGAATCAGGACCGAACAGTCTCAGATATCAAACCTGATAAATTGTTCCACTCTCGGTATTGCAACTAGGAAACCTATTCAGATCAGGGTAGAGGGCTGAAAGAAGTTTAAGAGTAAGGTCTAAACTTGGCAAACTTACACAAGGTCTAAACTTAGGTAAAGAGAGGACTCCAATGGCCGTGAGGTTTCAAAGAGAAAAAGGGATAGACAGTTTAAAGGATCTACTCCACAAAACCGCTAACAAAAGCTAATAAATTCAGCAACAAACCTGGCTAAGTTAAAACATAATGAATTCGGCTCAAAGGCTCAATGATAAACTGTAAAATAGTCGGTATCCAGTCTCGAGAGTAGCTCAAGTTAAGAGGTCCACACTCTAGATATAAGTTGTACCAAACCTGACCTCCCCCTCCTCCACGAAAATATCTGAAAGGAAGAAGACGACGAATAGCGGATGGAGAAAAGTCTCAAAACCATAAGAACACAAAAGGAAGAGCAATTGTAGGTACATGAGAGGTACAGCCCAAATCCAAAACATCTAAAAACTGATAAAAAGGGAGTCTAAAAGAGAGAAGGATTGCTGGACTAGCTATCCATTCAAAAAGAGCCCACAAGGGAAAAAAATGCTCATATTCATCACAGCAACTCAATGCACCACATGACACAGCCCAATTCCCTGTACTCCTTTCTTCACCAAAATGTTCCTTTCAAGAAGACAACATCAGTCTCTATAACACTACATTCCCATTACCGAAAAATGCAAATCTATTTGTCATCCACTTCCTTTTCTGGTTTTTTTTTTTTTTAATAGTTTTTTTCCCTAAGCAATCAGAATAATCCTTCACTTCAAAGTTCAAAATGAACTGACCCTTACACTTCTGTTATTCAGTAAAACTGCTATTCAAAAGCATTTTGCTTCATTGCATATTATTAATATTAAAATTTGACAAATGAAATTCTGAATATTTGCAAATGCCAATGATAGAAAAACAGACAAATAAGAAAAGCAAGACAAGGGCGTATATATTTGCAAATACCATCCAATCAGAGGGACGTAATTGTAATTACAAAGAAATAAATACACAGATACATGCCACACTGATACAACTTGTAGCAAATTGCAGTGCTTCACTCACAGTGAAAACATTTCCCAAAATGACTGATATACCCCTAAGAATCTGAGACACAGAGAGAGAGAGAGATGAGAGCTAACCTTGCGGATTCCAGAGGCTTGCAGGCCAGCGACGCCGGCGGTGGCGATGGAGCCGACGTAGAGGGACGCAACGGCAAAGGCCTTGAAAGGCATCGTCGTGGAGTTTCCAGCGCAACCTCTCCGGGACGACACCACAGCCCAACCCAACTGGCCCGCGCTGGCCCCGGCCCACCACAAGTGAGAGCGGGACCCACCGCGACCACCACTTCCTCCACTCTCCAGAGTCTCCTCCTGCATCTGCGATGATTATAAAGCAGCTGGTTTTGATTCGTTTGGAATGATTCAATTCAAGTAATGTATTTGATTGTGTTGGGTTCAACTGTTGAAGTGGGCTTTTCTTTATCTTGGGACCAAAAAAGATTGTGGGCACAACTATTGGGCCTACACATAAATATTGTCATGAATTTGGGCTTACTAACGATGTTGTCGACAGGTTTTTATTGGGAAATAACGCTTAATGCCACTGCAATCCAAACTTTATCTGAAAATACCACCTTTTCCCACATATTTTGCAAATATAACCTCTAATAACATACTTATTGTCCACTTACTGCACACATAACACTTTTTCTCAATTTTTGTTTTCTTTCTCAGCTCTCTCTCAGCTCTCTCCCTCTCTCTCTCTCTCTCTCGTGCAGCTCTCTCTCTCTCTCTCTCTCTCTCACGCAGTTCTCTTCCTCTCCCACCGCTGCCTGTTAAGTCGTTCTGCCTAAGGTCGCAGCTGCTTTCAACCTCAAAGCTCAACCCCATCGCTAACCTCAAATAGGTACTGTTGATGGTCATTTTCTTAGAGTTTAGAGGTTTCTCTGAAATTGGTTTAGGGTTTAGAGGTTTCTTTGAAATTGTAAGATTTTGATGATTCCTTGTTTGAAACAGTGAATGGGTTTGTTCTTTGTCGATTGATTCTTGCATTTGATTTGAGATTTGCTTGTTTACTGTTGTTGTTTTGCTATTGTTATTCATGTTGTATTGTTGTTGTATTTCATTGCTACATTATATTCCAATCACAGTATGAAAGAACACCGGCAGATTTGAAATGCGGGTTTGAAATGTTTTTCAAGATATCCCGGACATTGAATGCTTTAGCAAATAAGTTTGGGGTGGTGGTTCTGACCAACCAAGTAGTGGATTTTATTTAGCTAGATGATGGAATCAATAGGGTGAGATTGGGAAACTTGGAGTGCTTGCATACATCAGGCTGACGGGTGAGTCCAACTTTGGGACTGGCTTGGGCACATTGAGTTAATTCAAGGGTGTTCTTGGCAAGACATGAGGAATTTGTTGGGGTTAACAGTCCTAATGTTCCTTTAGCAACTATATCCAGTCAAACACATAGGACACTTCACCTTGTATTTGCCCCACATTTACTTCACCTTGTATTTGCCCCACATTTGCCCCATGTATCGTCTGAATTTGTAATCACAAAAGAAGGTGTAGTAGGAGTATCACGGTAACTGCCTAATAATTGCATTGGAAGGACTTTAATGTTGGGGATCCATTTTGAGTTACATTCTAGGCCCTTAAATTTCGTACATACAAAGTTTACATTACAATAGCAATACCACTACAATAAAAGTACAATATAATGCAATCTTAAGGCAATAAAATGGCAATACGATAGCAATACTATCAATATAAATAGGGAATACACCATGTTGTATAGCAATGCAACCCAAATTATGCAAATTTAACAAAATTCACAATCCACATAACACCAAACCCACCACAAATAAAATTCAAATTGACAGTACCTAACAAACTAACACAAATCATATTGTCTAAGATACATTAGGGAGTGGAATATTGTTTTTACAAGTGATTTTATTGTAGCCTGTGGAACTACAACTTGAGCACTTTCTTCTAATGGTGCCCTTTCCTTGCGAGGGAATCCTTAGCTTCTTTCGCCTGCCTGGCATGACCTTTGCCATGCGAGGTAGCACAACTCGACTTTGGACATCTTTAAGAATAACCCACATTCCCTGAGGCTGTACCGGGTAGATGGTATCCGAATAAGCATCCAATCATGTATTTCGAGTGTAATACTGAGAAGCCTTGGAGTATACAATTAGTTTTAAGAAGCAGCAAACTGCAACTACATGCTTGCAAGGTAGTTGCTCAAGCTTAAACTTCCTACAACTA